GTTCTGGGGCGTGACAAATGAACAAGAAAAAAGGGGAAGATTGTGGCCACTCATACCTTCCTTAGATCAAAAATCTCAAAAACTACTAAATATTGGCCTCAACAAGTAGCAGCAACTCTTAATTAGCCACAGATTCCAGCTAAGACTATGGAAAATTTACAGAAGACCATATGAGTAGGAAGAAGTAGAAATTTTGTGATAAAGGAAAACACATTTATAACGACTAAAAACATTAACTGCCAATGTAATAAAATATGAGAGAATTTGATTTCAAATCTAGAAATAAGATTCTTCACGCAAATGAAATGAAAATTTCTATACCAATCAGAACTTTTGACCAAAACAATAAAAACACATTTTTTTCGGTCATTTTAATTGTCCGAAAATAATTCAAGCACATGACCATCCCCTGCTTCATGTCACTTTAGTGCAGATTTTTTCCCATTTTATTCGGTCAAAATGATTGACTGAAGTAATATGAATAGATATGTCTTCCACACCAAACCCTCCTTTAAAAAAAAAAATATGGGATTATTTCAGTCAGTAAAAATGACTGAAATAATTTCGGTCCCTAATTATGACCAAAATAATCCCCTGGTTTTTGAGTTCATCTATTGTCAAAATAGCTAGCTTTGCTTCTTAGAGTCGGCTTCCACAGCTGGTTTAGAATTTCTGTAGTTGGTTTTGCAAGATTCTGTACATTCTGTTTTTTCTGCAGAGCCGGCTGCAGAATGCAAAGCCAGTTTTGCGTACTTCGGTCAATCATTATGACTGAAATTATACTATTTCAGTCAGAATTCTTGACCGAAATAATCCCCTAGTTTTTGAGTTCCAGTGTTGTCAAAATAGCCAACTTTACTTCTTAGAACCGACTCCTTACAGCCGGTTTACAATTTCTGCAGTCGGCTTTCCAAGATTCTCCACATTGTGTTTTTCCATAGAGCTGGCTGCAAAACACAAAGTTAGCTTTGCGAGCTTCTTGCACATTCTGTTTTTCTTTAGCAACCGACTGCAAAAACGTAAAGCCGACTTTAATATTTCGATTATCCATTTTGACAGAAATAATAGATGAATATTTTACACAACCACATATTATTTCATCCATTTCAACCATTTTGACCGGCACAACTACTATATTTCTTACTTAATCCTTTTTTTTTTTCCCTTTCTCTGTTTCTTTTCTTCTTTTTTTTTAACCTAAAATTAGTAAATAATACAATAAAAAGTCTTTATTTATTAGCTACTTCTACATTTATATTATAACATGTAATTAAAATGTTGTAGAGTTTAAGCTCATAAATATAACAGTTCACCTAATATTATAAGGGAACAATATCATGTCTTAATATATATAGTCATTAAAGTATTATATGTATTATCGCATACATGTTAAAGATTAATTGTCATACATATCCATACATATATAATAATAAAAGAAGTTTTTGACACAAAGATCAACTTAGAGAAAAAAAAAGTTAATTATACTCCCCCACTTGGCCCAGCCCCTCCTCTTCCCTGCTTCATGAAAAACATCCTTTCCATTCTATCAACCTTCTCTTGCAATGTCATGTGACTCTCTTGTAGTTCTGTCATACTCTGTGTCAACTGCACTACGCGTTGAGAAGACTGAACAGAAGTATCTGGTATAGTATAGGGAGGACGTTTCCAATGTGAAATGCCTTGCTCCTCAGGGTCCATATAAATGGGCATTCCATAAAGTCGCCCATCTTTGGAGGGTCCACCTGAAACTTGGGACAATAGTTTAGCATCAACTGTTGTTGGCCATGCAGTTCTGTCTTCCTCATATTTTTGCACGGCCTCTGAAGTTAATCGTTCTTGCAATAAATTAGTTAACATACTTATTATATCATTTAATAAAGTATATAAAATTGAAACTACTCAACCATATACTTG